AACAATGAACATAAGAAAGGAGAATTTTCGAGAATGATACTATAAGAAACTTGCATTCAATTAAAATAATATTGCAAAATAAGGTTAAATGAAGTGATTCTCGACAGTTTTTTTAGCTTTATTATTTTTTTAATAATATTACATTTCTTTTGATGAAATAATGATTTGAAAGAATTGAACACTAGCATAGATTGCCTACATGAGCTATATCCAGTCAAATCACTTTTTTTTTTGTTAGCTTATCGAAGGAATTTCTTTCTTTCTTTCTTTATGTTGGTTCAATTCAATACATTAATCACATCTCTGATTCAACACATTCATTATATTTCTGTGGTTTCTTTTTTTATTATTTCATTCAATAACTTTCCTTATTTATTGTTTGAAAAATAAAGTTAGTTTAGTTATACTATTTTTTTTATATTTTATTTATTTTTTATTATCTTTAATAAAATATTTAATTTTATATTTTTATTTATTTATTTTGATTTAACTTCTTTTAATTGCATTTTATTGATTTTAGGTAATAATAATTAAAATAATAATAAAAAATTATTTAAATTAGATTAAATGCAATACAATGCAACACAATGCAATTTCTTTTTATTATTTTACCATACTTGAATTCTTTTAATTGTAAAATTTAATGTGATAATAAATTCTTTTCATAATATTTTCATGTTATTTTATTATTTAGAGTTTAATTATTATATTAATTATTTCTCTTTTAATTTAGGATTGTTATCTTTTATTTTATTTATTATATATTTATAGAATATTGATGTAATTTAATTTTATATAAATGAATACTTCTTCTTATATCATTAATAATAAATAATATAGTTACATCGATTTATAACATTAACGTGTAACTTTTCTACCATCGTGTGTTATAAATTAATAAAGTTTATGTGTACCTATATAATATAAATTTGTCAAACGAGGTTTTAATCTCTTATTAAATAATTTTTTTCATTTTTTTTATCAATTCAAATATATATATTCCTTTCATTAAATAGAATTCATCTCATATTTTATGTTTTCTTAAATCATATTTCTAATTATGATAAATTAAATAACTAATTATTTTTTTATTTTATTATATAAATTTTTGCAATATCGATGTATAATTTATATTACCTTCAATTGTCCAATAAATTATAAGAGATTTATGTATAGCTTACATTATTCTAAATTTTCTTTCAACATTAATCATAACCAAAATTTAAATTTGAATACTTCATTTAAGAACAAAATATTTTTAATGATTTGCAATATAGTTGTGTGATCTTCCTTCACTTTTTGTATTGTTTCTTGTATGGTACATGTATAACTGTGTTATCTTGTATCCTAAACATTATTACTTTATGAAAATAATTTTAATTTTAAAATAAATTTTCTTTTACTAAATTTAATTTTAATCAACGAATTTTATAACTTTTAGATAAAACTATGTGGCTTTGAGTTCTCCATTGCACACAAGGATATGTAGGAATGGAAACCGAACCCGTCAAGTTAAAATAATTTTCAAAATAAATTTTTTCTTTTTTTAAGATACTGAGTTAATATTTCAATAAATAATTTTCTTCTTTTAAAATAAAAATAAAAATAATTAATGTTTAGGGAATAAATAAATATTTTTCATAATTTAAATGAATTTGCACAATTAATTTTATGTAACTATTTTGATTAGACTGACTTCCTGTGAAGCATCACTATATAAGAAAGTGACATATGTCACTGTTATATAAGTGACTCATCTTCAAGAAATTTTATGGATAGGAAAGTGTTATGTGACACATTGAGCTAGTTACTCCTAGTGGACAGTGCATATAGAGTTAAGTGAGTTAAAAATAAACTTACAGAGTAACTACTTTTAAATAAATTATTATAATTTATTAAAAATATTTATTTTATTTATTACTTTTTACTATAAACTTATAGACAAATAAAATTATTTAAAAAATAAATAATTAATAATTAAATTTATATAATATTAAATATTTAGAATAAATTATTACTATTAAATAATATTAACAATTATTAAATATTTATCTAATTTTTGTTTGTATTTATTCATAATTATTAAATCATAGTAATATTTTTTATTTATATAATTTTATAAATAATTTTTTAAGATATTATTTTATAATTTTATTTAAGTATTAATTATAAATTTTTTATATTTTATTATTTTGATATTATTATTATTTATTATTTATTTTTATAAAATTATTTTAGGAACATCATGTATTTAATAAATATTTTTAAAATTACAGTTGAGACATAAAATTAATCACAATGAAAGCAATGCTAGTTAAATTTATCATATCGTATTATGTCATCAAAATGCTCAAAATAATTTATTTAAATAAAAATTAATGGGTTAAAAAAATTGAATGCAACATTGTTATCGTAAAAATCATAGACACATGGTAGTTAATATTGTAAAATTTATGGATGTAGATAAGTAATATGTGAACTTAGTAAAAGTAATGATAAAAAAATACGTGTGCCTTTTAATATTGTAAAATTGATAGAATTTTTTTATTTTTTGAAATATTTTTTATATTCAAAATAAAATAACTTAATTAAATGATAAAAAATACGTGTGCCTTTTAATTAAAAAAAGTGTATAATAATTATCAATTACTCTTTTAAAAAAGTGAACTAACTCACCTTTAACTTTGATCGTTAGCCCACCTTTCTTTATGTATTGCAGTTTAGGACAAAAGTAAGCCCATTATCTATAATGCTTAAGAAAGATGGGACTACTTAGCAGATTATGTGGGATGAAATGTGGATAGTGCTCATATTATTCTTAGTGGACAAGTATCATTTATTTTAATGTTATCATATGTCAATGTGGAGATGTTATTTCCAGGGAACAAGCATCACTTAGTGTTGTCAAGTGTTAATGCTAACCATGTTACTCTTAGTAGGTAGCTGTGGCATTCTATGTTGATATGTGTCACATTAAAATTAGTGACTCACTTTTAGTAAGCATAGTTAGGATATTTTATCACATGTCTTCATCTATTTACTTGTGTTGCCAGGTGTTAATGCTAACCATGTTACTTTTAGTAAGTAGCTGTGACATTCTATGTTGATATGTGTCGCATCAAAATTAGTAACTTACTTTTAGTAAGCATAGTTAGGATATCTTATCACATGTCTTTATCTATTTACTTGTATCTCTCTATCATGCATAGTAATGAGTTATAAATTAGGTTACAACATTTAAAATTGATGTTGAAATTTATATATATCTCTCTCTTTCTCAATTTTAAGTTTTTAGCTTTATTTTGTTATTAGTGAAATTTAACTAAGGTATTGCGCTAATTAATTTTATTTTAATTATATATTTTTTTGTTATTCTTAATTAACATGATGAAATATTATTTTATGTAGTTTTTAATTATTTTGGTTTAGTTTAATTAATTTATTTGAATAACTTAATTGTTAATGCATTCTAATTAAATAATATTTAAATATAAGCCAAATTATTGTAGCTGTGTATTCAAATAGAAAAATATATGAAAGAATAAAAAGTTTAATATTTGAAGGAAATAAAAAATGCTACAAATAAAATATAATATTAGTTACAATAAACTTGAGAAGAAAATTTTCTTTTAAATTAAGTAATAAGAAAAAAAAACAGTAATTTTCAAATATGTGAGATAGATGATAAATACTTTTGAGTATATAATAAACTTAAGATACTTCAATATTATGTTAGTGTATATCTTTATAATTGTATTTCACTATTAAGATTATTAATTATATTACCAAAATAACATAATAATTATCTCATCTTCAATGATCTATTTGCAATTCTTTTTTAAAAGGTAATTTTTTTTAATAATTTTTAAAAAGAGCTAATCATATTTTATATTATGTATTTTTAATTATTGATCGACTATCAATACATAAATTAATTTAAATCGCAATATTTTGTTATGTACTTGTCATTTTCTTAGAAATAAGTGAAAAGTATGCGTCTCATGTCTTCATTTATCAACTAAAGCTAAAATAAGTCATGTTTTAACTTAGAAAAATGACAAATGTTCAATTCTCAAAAAAATTATTTGCTACAAATATAATATAATATAGGTAAACTATCTTCCTATCATCATCTATAACATGTATGTATCAATTTTAATATTTTATCTTCAACACCATTCCATATGTACTATTCCTTATAATATTTTAATAATTTTAAATTATTTAAATTTAATCTAATAGCTCTTAAATACGAGAAAAATAAAATTATTTTTATTATCATAATATTAAAATATCCTAATATTTAATTAAATAACACAAATTAAATAAATTAAATATGTTAAAAAAATATCTTATTATACTGTACATACACACTAAATTTCTATTACAATATAAATAATAATATAATAAATTAATTTATATTGCAATATAGATAGTAACATGTCATTAATATTAAATTATTAATTATTATACTAAATATTTTACTAACTTAATTTGTATCATAGATTTTTTTAAAATATTATTATATCAATAAATATAATATACTTGTTAAGCTTTATTTTTTTAAGATAATATTATAATTACAAACTGCAACAATCACTTAAATATTATTTTATTCTACGACTTCATAGTTAAACATAATATTAAATACAAAATTTTTAAATTTAATAACTATTACTAAATCTACTGTAATAACATAAATTTTAATATAATATTATCTCATCATTATTATTATGCTACGCTATATTTTATTTTAATTAACACATATTAATATTATTTTATTATTTATTAAAATAAATAAAATTTACTCAATTAATTTATTTTAATATTATTTTCTATAATTATATTATGTTCCTGAATATAATATGAGATTTAAAATAATATTTTTTAAGTTTATATTGACAAACGATAATAATATTAAAAGTTATTTTACTAATTATTATACTTAATATAGTATACTAACCTATTTATCGAAACCTAAGGTATTTTCGTCCCTACTCACGCATCACGTTAAAGGTATTGATTGAGTGGACTTGAGTACGGTAAGAGTTGGGGACTTGAATTTCGAACGCAGCCTGAAAAGATGCCTTCGAATTCAAAGCAAAAGAAGCAAACGAAAGCGCACTCCATCTCAAGGTTACAACAATCACCATCCCAAGCTCAATTGCCAGAACAACTGACCTCTTTCTCCGAAGAAGCTTCTAGAAAGTTCCCTTCATTCATCTCCGAATCCCCGTTCATTGGCGAAATCACCCAAGTCGACCACTCTGCCCCTACTTCTAAGGGTTCTATAATTTGGCTTTCCGAACCTTCCATGCTTTCTTCCTCTCTTTCTCCAGGTTCCATTGTCTCCCTCTCTATCCCATTTTCAGGGAACAACACTACGCATTTCCCTCTTGCCTCGTTATCTAATCAATCTGTAAAATGCTACGGATTGCAAAATCAAAACACATCCCATCATCATGCAGGAAACTACTTTGCACTTGCAACATTGTTCCCTTCTAGTAAGGTTTGATTGTTTGTTTGTTTTTCTCTTTTAAGTTGAAGGATTATGATCCTTTTATTTGAAAAACAGGAAAGCGAATGCTATGTGTAATTTTTTTTAATAATTATGTATAAGAATAGAACTATCGTTATTGAAATAATGTATTTTATTATATTGACATAGGTTTTAAAGAATGGAGTGCGCCTGTCTTCAAATCTTTTTTATACCATGGGGTGTCCTTCTTTGGGCACAACTGTGTTTATTCATCAGTTACAGAAACAATACTTCTCTTCTCTTATAAATGAGAGCAATGAATTGTATTCTACCGAAAATAAGTGTTCTACTATATATAATTGCAAGGAATTGTATCTTCAGTTAGTTCCTTCTAAGAAAATTGATAATTTGCCGTCATTGGACTTGTCCAAGGTGAAACCCCTTGTCCAATCTGAGAATGATGTTATTGCATCTCCTACAACACCTTCTTATGGATCAAAGTTTTCTAATGCTACTGGGCTATCTTCTCCAGTATTTGAAGATTCAGTGTTAAGTGTGCCAAATCAGAATGTTCAATCAGTGGCTTCATTCGATGTTAGTGTGGCATTAAGGGATGAAAGTGCTAAAAAATTACTGCAGACATGTGCAACTTCCTGGTTATTTTCTCGTTCTTTATTGCTAGGGAATCTTGTCATTGTCCCAATGTTTTCAGAGTTGTGCTTTTTCCAAGTGATTGGAGCTGAGAAGTTTCCAGTTCCTGGATCTGATTATTATCCATCAAATCGGAGTAGCAATTTATGTCCTGAGGATTCTAATATAGCAGAGGATGTAAATCAGGCTTTCACAGTCAATTATGAAACTAAGGTATTTTTATCTCTGCCATCAGATGTGGCATCTGAAGAGCCAATTCAAAGGGATTTATCTTGTGTGAAACTAGAACATGAAGTTGCTAATGCCAGCATTCATGATAATATGCCTAAATTGGGTGGTCTGTCCAAAGAATCTGCTCTTTTAAAGGATATAATTTCTTCATCAGTGAAAGATACTTTATCAAGGTATGGCTTGCAGTTGCATATTTTCAACTGTTTGTTGTTTAATGTTGAAGACTTTTGAATGTTTGTTTACTGGCCAATGGCCATAGATAGTGTATTGTTGTATGCATTGTACAATGTTTGGTGTATTCTAGTAGTGTTGATTGGTAACTAAGATTCCTGCTCCAAACTCCAAAGGCTTGATATTTTTTTTGTTTGAATTTTATGTTATACATGTCTTGTTAAGATATCCCTTGTAGTTTCATTAAGATATGGACTAATGGTCTAGAATTTAGAGTTTAAACTTAATTCTTCTCCAGCAGCAGCAGCATCCTTACTTTAGTTGGCTCTTTATGCATGTGTATTTGGTGCCGCAAATTCTTACATTTTAATTGTGCATGAAGAACATTCTTTTGTTTTTTTTTTTTTAATTTTTTTTTTTATAAATTAATGGATAGCCATTGGATTTTTACTCAAGAGAAAGCATGCCATTTGTAAAAGTCAACAACCCCTTTTCTCTAGATATTTTTTTTGGTGATGTTTATTAGTTCAATTTTGTTAACATCAATTCTTAGGGTTGATTTTAAGCATCGAAAAATAGTAAACTATTTTGGAAAAGAAAATATTTATTAAATTTTTCTATTTCTAATGTAAGAAATGTTAACATTTTTGATAAAATCTTATCACTTTTAGATACTTAATATCAACCCTAAGAACCAATGTTAATTTTCCTTGATAATTTGAAAAAAGATAAAGTTCATTTAGTGTCTCTTGTGCTTGTTAGATTTAATTTGCATATATTCACGTCTTTTAAAAATTATATCTTTCAATAAATTCTTTGTTTTATTGTCAAAATGAATACAACTGTAAGCCAAAATTAAAAAAACAATGTTATTATCAGTTCTTAGTTACATTGTAACATACTTGTATGCATCTGCAAATGTGATTCTGCATGCTTATGCTTCTTGCTTTTCCAAAATCTAGTTTTGGTTTAAGAACTACAAGAGGAGTCCTTCTTCGTGGTCCGCCTGGTACAGGAAAGACCTCTCTGGCTCAATTATGTGCTCGTGATGTTGGTGTCAATTTTTTCCCGATAAATGGACCTGAAATTGTTTCCCAATATTATGGGGAAAGTGAGCAAGCATTGCACAAAGTTTTTGATTCAGCCATTCAAGCTGCACCTGCTGTGGTTAGATTTTTATTGAAAGATTGCATTTTAGTAATTTTCTATTTTGTTTTTAATGAAATAATATGTTTTAATACGTGCTACATATCACAAGAAGAGTATTTGTTGAAGTTGTTAATTACATTTTTAGACCTTGAGTTTTAATCTTACCATATGAATATTATATTTAAAACATCGTCATAATATATTTAATATGGTACAAGGGGTACTTATTTGTGGAGTCAGTGATTACCTAACATTATGAGGCCTCATGCCAACACAAAGATAGCTGAAGTTTCTAAGGCATGTTCAATTGTAAATTGTTGTAACCTATGGAATGGGTGATTATTGTGAAATTTGAAGGCAATAGTCGCAATACTATTGTATAAAATCAAAATTTAAGCATTATTTTTTTAGTTAGAACCTGATTTTTTATTTCCAATTCTGATCATTTTTCTGAAAAATTATGGATTATTCATATTTTTGTTTAATTCTCTTCTATGATTTGAAAGTCCTTGAACATGGCTAAATCATCATAAAACTAATTATTAAACAATTCATTTTTTTTTCCCATTTACAACTTCTAAAAGATATGGGTGGAAGCCTCCATTTGTGTCTGAGTGATGTAAAAGGGAGGTCTTGTGTTGGATATTATTCTTGATACAATAATTTATTTTCTGTGAGAAGTCCACTTGACAAAACAATGAGGTAAGACTTACACTATTAATGCACTTATAATTTAAATTGTAAAATATATGTAACTATAGTAATATGAAAATTTATCTTTGTGATTATGTTAATTTAAGTAACTGAGTATACAACAAATATCCTGTAATTATTATGATTACCAATATAAATATATGCTTTATTGTGTAGTTGAAATACAAATTTATTCACGTGTTCCCTCACTCTTCTCTCTAAGTTGTCCACTTTGTCTTGTGAGTCATATCAACTAGATAAACATATTTGCAGTTCCTTTCCTAGTCATGTTAGTGGTCAAGTTTTGTATCATTTGAGTTTTGTTCATTTATGTTTTGGGTCCAAGTCATTCTATGTCTACCTTAGAATTTAGATATTTTATTACCTTTATTGATGTTTATTTCTGTTGTACTTCGATATATTTAATGAAAAATTGATTAGAGTTATTTTTAATATTTTAATTTTTTTTACCATGAAATTTAAAATCAATTTATTATTCCTATTAGCATTGTGTGTAGTAATAATACTTGTAAATATTTGTCTCAAACTTGCAACATTTTATGAGTTTTAATGATATTCTTTATCAAATTTCATAAGCTCATATTATTTAACAAAATGGAATCCCTCGTTGTTTTTAGAGTGGTTTTGTTCTTATACTCCATTACCTTATTAATCGAATGCCCCTCATTTGTTCTTAACAATTAGGTACCTCACTCTGTCTTGTTTTGCCATCAATCTTTACATCCTCTATACCAGTGTTTTTTGAATTTATTTATTTTGTTCATAATCCTAGTCTAAGATTGGTGAGCTCTCTGCTTGTTCTCAAACATGTATTTTTCATGGTTACACTCAAAGTTAGAAGATTATAAATGTTAATTTCTTTGAGTCAATTTCCCTTTTTTGGGTCTTCTAATTCACATTTTGCGATTGAGTCTGACACACTCTCCTTGTGTCTTACTCTTGAACTTGTTATTTTTCAATCATTAAAGATGTCATTTCCTTTAAATAATTCTTTTCAATGCCCTTTATGAGTATATCATAGTTGACACCATATTTTTTGCCACCACCAACTTGTAATGAGACTTCTTCTAACTTACCTCCAGCACCAACTCCTCTTTCCTCCTTTGGCCTTACCTCTTTAAACCAATTGATGAATGTCAAGCTTGTCAATGCTCCTACGAATCCAAATTCCAAATTTCTGTTAAGTCTAGGGAAGTTTCTTTCTGATTTAAAAAAGTTCAGGATACTTTTTGGGAAGTTGAACTATCTTATCGGACACATATCCGATACTGATACGTGTCCAATACGCTTAGATACGTATCCAAGAAGTATCGAAAATTAAATTTATTTTAAAAAATTAAATTTAAACCCGATACGGTTGGGATACGACTATAAATATTTTGATACAGCTCGGAAACAGCTCGGCTAAAAATAATGGTCAGCTTGAGTGAATTAACAATATTGAAATGGGGAGTTTCAATCCGTCTTTCATTTTTCCATTTCTGCTATCATTCATGAGTTAGGAATGAAACCAGAACTCACCCAAAAATAAAAAATCAGCTAGGGTTCACGATTTAGAACTCATCCATTTCTCCATTTCCATCATTGTTTTGAGGTTCGATTTTGGGCTTCACAGTTCCTGAACTTTAGAGCCGTATATTAGCGTTGAAATGGAAGGTACCTAGAAAGCAAAGCAAAGCAAAGAGGATAACCCCGCACAACCAGATACCTTCGACCCATCGTATCCTTTCTTCTTCAACACTTCCGACGCCACGTAAGCCGGCATTTTGCACGGCGTGAGGAGCATCCCGTTGGAGATTTTTAGGCTTCAAGTCAGTGGGTGTGTTCTGAACTTTGTTCCTCTTGTCTCTTCTCTGGACTTCAGCAACAATTTTAACGTTTTTTCTCCATTGCTGTGGCGCTTTAAGTCAGTAAGTGTGTTCTGAACTTTGTTCCTCTTCTCTCTTCTCCATTGCTGTGGCGGTAGAATCTCACAAACTTCCTCTTTCATAATTTCCTCTTTTCTATTCATTTTATAGCAATAAAGTAAAAATATTATTCTTGCATTTTTTCATAGCTGCGTTTGATGACAAAAAATGAGTTTTGGTTCTGACTCTAATTTTAGAATTCCAAGTAACTTTGGTTCATTAGAACTTTAAGATGATTATGCTCCACTTTGGGCATTTGTCACTATAAAGGATAAGTTAAGAGATGGAGGAGGCAACAAGCTATGGAGTTGTAATTTTTGCGACAAAGTGGTCAAAAGTTCATACTCAAGAGTGAAAGCACATTTACTTAGAATATCCGGTGCTGGTGTTGCTCTTTGTCTTAAGGTCACTCCTGAGTACTTGGTTGATTTGAAGAGAATTTGTGAAAAAGCTGAGAATAAAATTAAGCCCAAAACTACCCCACTACCTTCAGCAGCTCCAACAACCTTATCCCAGAAAAGAAAAAAAATAGGTAGTGGTACACTAGAAAGGGCTTTCAACGTGGATGAAAGAAATCAACTTAGAGCAGAGATAGCAAGAATGTTTTATTCAGCTGGCTTATCATTTCATCTTGCTAGAAATCCTTACTATGTTAGTTCTTATTCATTTGCTGTAAACCATAACCTTAGTGGTTTCTTTCCTCCTAGTTATAATGCTTTAAGAACTAGTCTTTTACAACAAGAGAGATCTCATATTGAAAGATTGCTCCAACCTATAAAATTTTTATGGCTTATAAAAGGAGTTACATTGGTTTCTCATGGATGGACAGATGTTCAAAGAAGGCCATTGATAAATTTCATGGCTGTAAGTGAAGGAGGGCCAATATTTTTAAAGGCTATTAATGATTCTAAAGAGTACAAGGACAAACACTATATGGTCAGCATAATAAAGGATGTAATTAATGAAGTAAGGCAAAAAAATGTTCAAATCATAACTGATAATGCTCCTATTTGTAAGGCAGCCGGGATGTTAATTGAAGCTGAATTTCATCATGTATTATGGACTCCTTGTGTCGTTTATATTTTGAATTTAGTATTGAAAAACATATGTGCAACTAGAAATATTGATGGAAATGAAAATGTTTTCAATGAGTGTCATTGGATCACCCTTCTAGTTGATGATGCATCTTTTATCAAGACTTTCATAATGACCCACTTTATGAGATTGACTATTTTTAATGAGTTTTCATCTCTTAAGTTGCTTTCTGTTGCTGAAACCCGTTTTGCATCAATGGTTGTCATGCTAACAAAATTGAAGTTGTTGAAACATGCTTTGCAAAATATGGTCATTAGTGACCAATGGAATAGTTATAGAGAAGATGATGTTGGTAAAGCTGCCCATGTGAAAGAACTTATTTTAAATGATATATGGTGGGATAAATTAGACTATATTCTTTCTTTCACAGATCCTATATATAGCATGCTTAGAAAATGTGACATAGATGCTTCTACTCTTCATTTGGTCTATGAAATGTGGGATTCCATGATTGAAAAAGTGAAGACAGTCATATATAGGCATGAGGAAAAGGAAGCAAATGAGGTTTTCAATTTTTATGATGTGGTTCATAGTATACTGAATTTTAGGTGGAGCAAGAGTTGTACTCCACTTCATTGTTTGGCCCATTTATTGAACCCAAGATAAATTTCAACTTAGTTACTGTCTCTTGAAAAATAAAAATCATACTATAACAAATTTTTTAATCATATGTAGGTATTATAGTGAAGAATGGCTTAGGGAAGCTCCAAATGGAGTTCCTCCACATCAAGATGATGAAGTTTCGAGAGAAAGGAACAAATGTTTGAAGAGATATTTTCCTAATGCTGAGGAAATAAAAAATGTTTTTGTTGAATTCTCAAATTTTTCATCTTGTGCAGATGACTTTGTTTCTTTTGATTCTATTGAGATAAGTGGACATTGGACCTAAAATCTTGGTGGGTAATGCATGGATCTTCTACCCTTTTACTTCAAAAGCTTGTCTTAAAGTTTCTTGTACAGCCTTGTTCCTCATCTTGTTGTGAGAGGCATTGGAGTACGTACTCTTTCATTCATTCTTTGAAGAGAAACAAAATGGATCCAAAAAGGGCTTAGGATTTGGTTTATGTGCATTTTGACCTTCGTCTTTTGTCTAGGAAAGAAGAAAAGTATACTAAAGGAGAGACAAGGATGTGGGATATTAGTGGAGATGTACATGATCCACTTGATAATAGTGCTGGATTTCTTGAATTGGCTGAATTATCTCTTGTTGAACCAGACTTAGAAGTTATGCTTTTTGTAGACGATGGGGATAGAGAAAATGAGTGTGACAATGTTAGAATTAAATAGTATAAAGGCAGGACATTCTTTTTGTGATAGTTCTATATTTCTTTTGGATAGAACTACCATTTCTTTTGTAGAATTCTAACTTGAATAGGGGGTAAAGTATGTAATTATTTTATGTGTTCATAGACAAGGTTAAGATATGATCGTATGTATTTTTTTGTAAAATGTGATCATTGATATGTAAATGTAACACATTAATATAAATTAATTATCAATATCTCTTTATAAATATTATTTCATTACATTCATGTTAAAGTATCTAAGTCGTATCGTATTTTGAAATTTAATTTTTTTCCGTATCCTTGTATCTGTATCGTATCAAGTATCTAGGCTTCATAGATCTCATGTTACTCGTTCAAATATCTCTTTTGTATTCACTTTGATAAGTCAGTTTCTTAACACTCCTTGTGAAGGACATTAGAATGCAATAGTTTACATTCTAAAATACGTCAAAGGAGTTACAAGAAAAGGACTTATTATTTGAAGATTATGCCACACGCAAATTGTTGGTTAGTCTTATGCAAATTGGGTAGGCTCTCCCGTCAATTAGAAATTTTCTAACTATTGTACTATTGTTGGTGATAATTTGATTTCTTGAAAATGTGAGAAACACAATATAGTTGTTTGTTCAAGTATAGAAACAAAATATTGAGTCATAACTTTAGTTACATGTGAATTTATCTTAATGAAACAACTGCTCAAAGAATTGGGATTTAAAGAGGTTATGAAAGTGACACTCATTTGTAATAATCAGGTAGCCTTGCATATTGTCTCAAACCCAGTGTTTTATAAAAGAACAAAGCATATTGAGATAAATTTCATTTCATCAGGGAGATCTTACCTAAAGATATCACCACTAGCTTTATCAATTCAATTTATCAACTGAAAATATCTTCACTAAGTCCTTGAGAGATTTTACTAGTTGTATATGTGACAAGGTTGAGAGATATTCACACAGATTCTTCCACATGCTTTCTCACTCTTATTCCTTTCCACATAAATAAAGGATAATTTTTTCTTCAATATTCTTATAATTGCTGAAACTTTCCATTCATGACCCAATGAGGCCTGCTTTCATTCAATCTTTGGACAATCTGGACATTTTTCTACTAGCTTCCAATACATGCATTTTGCATGGCTAATTATTTTCAAGGTTTTGCACTTGGTTCACTGAGTATAGTCCCCATTTATTTTGATCCTGATATTTTTAAAATTCAAAGTTCTAGATTACTTAATGATGGCATTTCTGCTATGCACAGTTATTCATCGATGAATTAGATGCAATTGCCCCTGTGAGGAAAGATGGAGGTGAAGAGCTATCTCAAAGATTGGTTGCAACCTTATTGAATCTGATGGATGGAATTAGTAGAACCAAAGGGTTACTTGTAATTGCTGCCACTAACAGGCCTGACCATATTGAGCCAGCTCTTAGACGGCCAGGAAGGTTTGACAAGGAAATTGAAATTGGTATATCTTAAAACCAATCTATTTATCTGTATGAATTTTACCCTTAAATTCTGCTTCTAAATGTTACTACTTTGTAAGCATTATCTAGCTTCATATGTGAACAAAGTTCAACTGGCCCGTCATGCATTATTATATATTTTATCTTGGGATTTAAATGATTAACATGAAATAAAATATTTTGTCCAAAACAGAAAAAAAAATGAATTTGGTAATAAAATTGTGCTTCTTTATGTAAATGTTGGGTGGGTTTTGGCTTTTTAAGCTTGTATTACATGTAACTTGTAACCCTACTTTATATGCATACACTTGCAAGAGCCTAACAGTTAAGATAGTATTTCCTTGCTAATTTTTCTCTTGACATGGTATTGGAGCTTTCTAAAGTACAACATTAAATAAAAAACCCCTCTATTCTTACCTGTGTCTATCACTACTACTTTTCAGTTTTTAGCTCTGTTGTATAAAAAAAAGCATGTTATGTAGGATATATTAATATTATCATGATGATCTTTCTTGGAGTAAAAGTCATTTTTTACAAACTTGTTGATTTAATTTTGCCTCTTCAGCATTTTCTGCCATAGGTAAATATAATCTGAATTTACTCTGCTTTATTGTATGAATTGACCTAATAGAACTCTGTTATGTTGCATAGAAGTCTTTTTTATTTGGTGAAAGAGATAAATGCTGTATGTGTTTCTTTTTCTGTGTACAAGCAGCATGTGCTTTATTGTGCAATTTTTGTTTTCTGTGACTTGTGAAAGAGACAATTAGAATGTCAATTTTTTTAAAAAAGTAAATTAGAATTTCAATTTGATCCTCGTAGCTGAAAAACCATTTATGCAGCTAGTGTGTAGTTGTTGATTTGCATGTTCATGGGTGAGTTATGCCTGTGAAATAGTGTTAGCCTAAAACATGCATTTCTGGGCAATAGATCTATTGATCTGTTATACATATTTCAATGGATTCACTGAAGAAATCATTTACCATGCAACTTCACCTCAGCAATCCATATGCAGGTGTGCCATCTCCTAAACAACGTTCAGATATTTTGCTCACTCTTCTCAGTGAAATGGATCACTGTCTCCCTGAGTTACAAATTGAACACCTTGCCACAGTCACTCATGGTTTTGTGGGTGCTGATCTTGCTGCTCTTTGCAATGAGGCAGCCTTTATTTGTATGCAACGTTATGTTGATTTTAAGAAGACTTACAATTCTTTTTCTGATAACATAAAAGAGCAAGGGCCTCTGGTGAATGGTGCAACAAGTATAGGTGTTGAAACATCATCTGTTTCAGATATGTCAGTGGCCTCCAATCCTGTATTACCTTCATGCATGATGGGACCAACTTCTGAATCTATGGTAATTCCTGATAGTGGCGAAGAAGAACAGATTTTGAAAATAAGATTTGAGGATTTTCAGAATGCTAGGATGAAAATAAGACCCAGTGCCATGAGAGAGGTATGGTTAATGTCATGGGTAATATTTTTGGGAGTCAGTTTTCAATAAAATATATTATCTGTCACCCTAGATCTATCATATTGATTAATTTGGTTTTCCCACATATTTCATTAATCTCCTTCAATTTTCAGTAACTTTAAGTTTCCTGAATAAATAACCTGAATCATTGAAATCACTTGTACAAGGGATTCCATCTCTAATCAATTCCTCCATTCAACTATCAATTGTTATTGGTTGTATCTGAGTAGTCTGCTAGGTTGAAGTATAGGTTCAATTTATGTCAAATAAATTGCAAATCTCTTTGTTTATTTTTCTTTTATATACACTTTTTTGATACAAACTACTGAAGTTAAAGAATTTTTTTATCACAAGGCATTCCACTGTAGCGAGATCTGAGGAATATTATGTTCAAGTAAGGTTGTTGTTTATATAACATGGTTAAAAATATACAGATCAAGGTTTTCTGCATCGATTTTCTTTTTAGATGGAAAGTGAGCATAATACTGTGGTTGTCAAATTTTCTGTCTACTTAGGTAATCCTTGAGGTTCCAAAGGTTAATTGGGAAGATGTGGGTGGCCAAAAGGAGGTCAAAGCTCAATTGATGGAAGCAGTAGAATGGCCACAGAAGCACCATGATGCATTCAGCCGTATTGGGACTCGCCCTCCAATGGGTGTATTGATGTTTGGGCCTCCAGGATGTAGTAAAACTCTAATGGCACGAGCAGTTGCTTCTAAAGCAGGGCTGAATTTTCTTGCAGTTAAGGGTCCTGAACTCTTCAGCAAATGGGTTGGTGAATCTGAGAAGGCTGTCAGATCATTATTTGCAAAAGCAAGGGCCAATGCCCCATCAATCATATTTTTTGATGAAATTGATGGTCTTGCTGTAACTCGTGGAAAGGAAAGTGATGGTGTTTCAGTGTCGGATAGGGTCATGAGTCAACTTCTTGTTGAGTTGGATGGTTAGTGATGAATCTTTGAGCAGTGGAAATGTGAATGATTACTTAAATATATTTTGCTTAAGATGTAAGAGGACTGATAAACTACTTGGACTTTTATTTGTGCCAGGACTACATCAAAGGGTTAATGTCACCGTCATAGCTGCTACAAATAGGCCAGACAAGATTGACCCTGCCCTTTTGAGGCCAGGTATTTTGTTTGTTTTGTTATTCTCTGTATCTCTTAGTTATATTGCACATGCAGATAAACAAAGGTGGATGACTTGTATAAACAGCTTAAATTTCAATTAACTGACAAAAGACACTTACATGCAGGACGCTTTGACCGTCTGCTATATGTTGGACCTCCAAATGAGGTGGACAGGGAAGAGATATTTCGCATTCATTTGCGTAAAATCCCATATGATTCTGATGTTAGCATTAAAGAACTAGCTCAACTGACAGATGGTTGTACTGGGGCTGACATATCATTGATATGTCGGGAGGCAGCTGTTGCAGCAATTGAGGTTTGTCTATCAACATGATTTCTGATAGATTTGTTGTCACTTGTCACAAAGTGTATTAATTTGTAAAATTTGTTCTGATGTTATACCAGGAGAGCCTTGATGCTTCTGTAATAACGATGATGCATTTAAAGATGGCAATCAAGCAGATCCAGCCATCAGAAGTTCAGACCTACCAAAAGCTGTTGGCAAAATTTCAAAGGGCTGTTCACTGCTGTGATATAGAGGATGAATTCAATCATATGTAATGCAACAGTAGATCTTCTTGGTTCAACATTTGGTAAACATTTCTTATTCCAGCTTGTGATATTTAGAATATCTTTGTTTCTTTTGGGTCTGTAAGGTAGAATTATAAATTCAAAATGTGTCTCTTGATATCAGCTGAAAACTGATTTTATTTACACCTTCAGTTGTGACTAAATTATCTTGTTTTTTCAGTTCTCTGAACTAGCAGGAAGTTCATAAATTCTTGCGCACTGTTCCTCAATAAAATACTGGCCGAGATCTTTAAATTGAGAACTGCTCTAAGCAGTTAACCATAGTCCTCAGAGAACTAATATGTTTGTCATGTTTCAGTGACTGGGTTTATGTGTATTACATGGGGATCATCTACACTGCAAATGACTAGTATGAATGTGGTATATGTTTGTCACATTACTGAGACTGGGTTTATGCATAGCATGGTCCTGGGGAAGAGTGTCTGCATCAACAGAGGAGTCAGCTGAAAGGAAAAGTGTAAATGCCCAAATTTGTGCTGAAAGCCCTGAATCCTGATTTGATTGGCCTTTCCGTTGAAGGCTGAACATATTGAGAATGATTGCAAACTTTGGTCTCACTTGGAAGTTCTGTTGCTTCAATATTTGTTACTCTTGAAGATGAGAGGTAGCACTGTTGGCTGAGGAACTATGCCATAAATTCCTGTGCGTCATTTTCAAAACAAGTTTGCTTTCGATCATAAACTATCGAAATTGTTGATAAACTTGCATCATTTGAGGAATTACAGTGGAATGCTTACACAAATTACTCTTGTTTTGGCTATTTCAGTGCGTATGTTGTTGTCCTAGAGTATTTTGAACGCACCCAACTTGTACTGTCACAGTAGTTGTAGATCAATATTGATCTGAAAGATGATAACACGATTTTAGTTTGAATATTTTTTTAGCAAAATGTTCAAAAGCCTCTTCTCTAAAGTTGAATGTGTTAACTTTTGTTGTTACTGCATAATTGACATGTCATTATATTATTATTATTATTAGGCTACCTTTTGTTAGATGGTTGCATTGCGCTGGGCTTCCTTAAATGAGCTCAAACATCAAAATTGCAAGCAATTTTATCTTCATTTTTTCAAATATCTATTTATCCGTACGTAAAACTCTCTAGTCTACCCTGGTTCCTTAGTCATGAATGATGTCCTACCTTTAGGATACGAGAATTTTTTATATTTTTTTGTTGAATGGGACTTGCGGATACGAGATTAATCATTTTCTTGGGTTCTCGTTGCCACGTGTTTTCAGTGAGAATTGAATTCCTAAACTACAAGTAAAGTTTGTCTTATATAAAATTGAGGTCGCCAGCTGAGTTAGATCTCGATAATTTGTCTATCATGCGTCGTTTTAGGTTTCTTACCATTTGGTAGTTACTTTTTCTTGGACTGTCATATTTGCAAATGAATATTTAAAAGTTACTGTAATTATGAGAGAGTATTGTATATTTTTTTTAATTGAGAGTTTTGATTTTTTTAATATCTTAAAAATGAAAGGATATATATGCTTTTTAAAATACGTTATTAAAATTATTATTTATTAATATAAAATTAATGATAATAATTTTTTTATATAAAAAAATATAAAATATCTTCTTAATTTACATGATAACATAGAAATTATTTATTAAAAAAAGCAATGAGAAATCGAAGGTTTCTTTTTTTTTTTTTTTGGAAATACTAGACATTATAAAATAAATCTATCACTGCCAATGATTTGAGTCTTAATTTTTAAAATTCATTATCCTTTTCATTATGCCATGTGTCTTTCCTATGTTGTGAATTTATTTTTTGCTAAATTTAATTTTAATTTTAAGTTTTTAACTTATATTTTAATTTCAAAAATTTTATTTCTAATTTTTTTTCCTAATAAAGGGAGCTTAAAAACCCAAGGACAAAAAAGAATCTAGGATAACATACAAATATAAAATACTAGTTTGGTGAAAACATTTTAGCAATAATGAGATCTATTTTCTGTCAAATCTTTATTTTTCCATTGTTGCTTAAATTATTATTTAACAAAATAAATATACATTAATTACTTATTCGCACGAAAAAATTTACATGGTAAAATAACATTTTTTATTTCTTGGGTTTCTTCTTCATTTTGCACCATTGGAAGATTTATATTTATTTTATACAAGCCTATGAATTTTTTAACAAAAAAAAAGAAAAAAACTGTCTGTCAAAATGTTCATATTGCTATTTGTTGGATTAGATCTTCGAAGTCAAAGGAGATTATAGTTCCAATGAAATAGAGTGCTTATTTTTTATTTAATTTAGAGACACTGAAAAATTTAGATATTGTTAAGATGAAATTATTGAAGTGCCTAATTTTATATTGAGGGAAGTGAAACACGATGTATGAAGACAGGGTGTAGGATATTTCTAATTCTAGGTATATATAGATAGAGATTTGAAGTGGAGGGTATTTTTGATGAATATTCTTGGTAGAGAAAAGGGGGTGAATGAAACCAAGTCTACTACTACAACTATACAATACAAAGGTATTTCTATGTCATAAATGCCAAAACATTAATCATACAAGGGATACACCTGTCATGATATTGGCATTTTGAAGTTGAAGCATCAAACATGGGTATCACATGGGGGGTACCCTTATCATATTACTTTGATCCAATTGGTCCATCAGTACTGTTGCCAATGCTGCACGAGGAAACATGCCTTTCTAGGGACAATAATTGTGCCATCTCCTTTTGCTAATAATAGGTAGACAAACCCGCAACCCTTCATGCGTCTAGTGTTTCGACCTTTGTTTAGTGCAATCTGTGATTGGGGTATAAATCGATTTCTGAAGCCAACAGGTATCCCACTTGCAACAGTTCCCTTCTGGGCATTTCATGGTTTCTGTTCCAACTCCATACAAAAGATACTCTTCCCTTTTCTTTCATTTCTTTATCATTATTTGCCTTTGGGGCCTAGTTACCTTTTCTCATTAATTTATTAACCACATTACTATACCCCCTTTTTCAATTTTTATCATACACTAATTCCTTAATTCCATCTAAATAATTACTTAACAATTTCCCTTGTGCATATATCCCTCACTACTCCCCAATTCACATTCAGTCAAATCGAATTTTAACTTTGAAACCGGAGACATCATGCAAGGCAAACACCAGCTCAACTTATTCCCTATCTACAAAACAAGAAAGAAATTCCACAAAGCCAAGAATCTTTGCATCTCTCTCCTCATTCTTTCCTCATCTCAAATCTTTCCCATGCCCGTACGTTTCATCCTTATTGTTCTCACATTCTTCCCCCACCTCTTCCACAGAGCATGCAATGCACGCGCCAGTGTGTCTGCCGGCCCAATGACCCAATCAATGAAATATGGGTTGGTTTTTGTTGTTATTCATTTTGGAGTATGGTATTCATCCTAATATTAAACTATATAAGCCATTAAATCAATTTATAAGGTTAAAACTGCTCCAACTGAAACAAAATTTTTAAACCGAATTAGCTACATTTAAAAAAGACAAATGAAAGAATCATCATATGATCTAAAGCATTAAATTATAAATCAAGATTGAGGCATTGAAATTATTGTTTTTTCTTAGTTGTAAATTTGACAGAATGCGTCACATCAGGGCAGCCAGCTAAGAGAACCACCCCACAGAGCACAGTGGATCACGGAGGCGCGTATGACCGTAACACGATGGGAGGGGAAAATTTTGAAAACTATAGAGATCTCACAACACTCACTCTCAAGTAGAAGACCCCCAAATCCCGGAAAAATAAAAATCATAAGAAAAAGCATCTGCAATAGTGCCCACAATAAAAAGCTGAAAAGAAAGAAAAACAAGATCCACCTCGAACCTCTCTCCACCCTCCACCACACTCCACCCTCCCTTCTCCCACCACCAACACCACCACCTTCACTCCTCTCTCTCACTCTCTCTCTAGAGAGAGATTCTCCTCACAAAGAATCAAATCCTTGTCTCCACCACCTCCATCACCACCACCCCCAACCCCACCCTTTTTCTAAACCATTAAACTACAAACAAAATATCCATTTGTTGAATTAAACACCCACATCCAAAAATCCTTCCTTTCTTAAAAATCAGTGAGCATAGAAGCGAAACAACCAAGTGGGGGGGGTGTGGGTCAGATTCTGAGAAGAAGGAAACAACAATGAGAGAAGAGGATTCAAAATGGTTTTCAAGATGGGAAGAGGAACTACCTTCACCAGAAGAACTCATGCCCCTATCCCAAACCCTAATAACCCCCGATCTAGCCATAGCCTTCGACATCAGAAACCCACACACAACCACAAACAACAACCCCACAACCCCACAACAACAGCAGCAGCAACAACCACCCTCAAACCCTTCCCCCACCAACCCCTCCCAACCCACCTCTACCGACTTCGCTGATTCCGGCGAACTCGGCTCCGGCACCGCCGGCGAAGAACCAGCACGAACCCTCAAAAGACCACGCCTCGTGTGGACCCCACAACTCCATAAGCGCTTCGTCGACGCCGTCGCGCACCTCGGCATAAAAAACGCCGTTCCCAAAACCATAATGCAGCTCATGAGCGTCGACGGTTTAACCCGAGAAAACGTCGCTAGCCACTTGCAGAAATACCGCCTCTACCTCAAGCGCATGCAGGGAATTTCCGCTGCCGGAGCTGCCGGCGCCGGTGCCGGAGCTGCCGCCGCCGTCGCAGACCCTGCCACGGACCACTTATTCGCGAGCTCACCCGTGCCGCCACATTTCCTGCACCCGGCAGCACGGCCTAATTCGGATCATTTTTTGCCTTATGTGCCTGTGCCAGCCCTCCACCACCACCAGCAGCAGCAGCAGCAGCTGGCGGCGGCGCAGTATCACAGGCAGGTGGGGCATTTCGGATCACCGCCGAATGGGCACTTCGAGAATCCATTCATGTCTAGGCCCTCTCAGCAGCAGCAACAGCTTCATAGGATGGGGGCTCCTGTGCACAACCCTGTTTCTGGCTATGTGGAGGACATGGAATCTGCCAATGCTTCAGGTGGTAGAAAGGTCCTTACTTTATTTCCAACTGGGGATGATTGAGTTTTGGGTATGTAATAGTATAGTTGTATGGTATGGTGTCTCCTTAGTTCCACCTTCTTGTCTTGTGAAGTTAATGTTCTGTCAGGGTCTTAGTTGTTAATTTGTGTTAGGGTTATTATTGATGATCTTGGTATTGCTAATTGGTGTTGGAGTCTAGATTTAAGTCTGCAGATTCAAAAGTTCCAGCAGTCATGCTTCTGTGGCATAATCTGGTTGATAGAGGTTCTACTATGGCGTCTAGAAGAAAGCCACGATTGTAATTAATTACTTTGTGGTATATATCCTCTGTCAGCTTCTGGTGACTGACATTCACATGATGTCACTTTTGGGCGACAATAATAATAATGTCTATAATCCTGGGTGTGAATCAGTAGTCGCGTGGCTTTAGGGATCCCCTCTAGCTAGCTGTCTGGGAATTGGCCACAGCTTGATGTAATTTGGAGTGTTCCTGCCTGGGCTTTATTGGCAGGTGTGGCAAAAGCAGCTAGTTTGGTATTTGTATCTGCAGGTGGTAATAAACACGCATTACACTCGGTAGAGACTAATGGAAGCATATCTGATTGGCATGTTTGGTTGTGAATTCTTCGACTAAATCTGGGAATCTCTATTGTGAAAGACTTGTCTCCTCCATGTCAAGTTTCATGTCCTGTAGAGGTGAGTTGTACATGTTTGATTCTATAGAAGACTCGAATGCCTGATGTAAGGCGATCGTTTAAAATTCTAATCTTACTCCAGTGTGGGAGGTTAATTTTTATATGCTAGATGAACTCAAGTAAACTAGTTTTGTTAATTGTCTAGGTTTACCATGCTTACGAACACAATAAGTTCATGTTTACTTAGTTGTGTATTTCTTCTTTGACTAGAAGTCCTGATTCCCTTGTGTACTGAGACTCTTACTAATGAGTCTTATTATTTGATGATCAATTTGCTAATAGCCAACTATACTATGTTTTAGAGGCAAAAGGGATAGTGTTCCAACTGTTCCCACTGGCATTCTTTTTCTAGTTTTGAATGACATGGTAAAAATACAAATGATTGGTGGACATTGATATACTTAAACTGAGACTCTGTTAGAATGCATTACCCAATATTGTATGCTATTTATCTGTGATAAACATCATGTGCCTGCACTTCAAAAAAAATAAATGTAAGGGCAGTATCAATTGAGTGTGAAAGGATCTAATCTTAAACCATATAATCATATATTGATGATCAAGACTGATATCTAGTTTCTTTCATGAGAAACATGCTCTGATTTTTGCGCACACATGTGCACACGCAGATACACATGTTTAATGTAATTGGACTCGCAGAGTTAATTGAGTTGACACAAACTTGCTATCATTAAACTAATTGGATTTTTATAGATTTTTTATAATTACCTCATATTATATCAGTCATTTGTCTAATTCTAGAATTCTCCTCAGTCTCTGAGATTAACTTTTCACTTGTTCATGTACCGGGAACTGTTTCTTGCAGTAGTTCAGTTTCAAATTAAAATGGTATTTTTAACTCCATAATTAGGTAAATTCAGCATCACTTTTAAGCTACTCAAATAATGTGCCCATTGTATGTGAGACTCCTTGAATTCAATCTTAAGCTGTTTTGCTTCTCCAGTTCTCTATCCAAGTTACCAGAGTTTCTTCATGTTCTCTCATGCATGTCGCATTTGTCTTGAATGTAATTATGTTTTTAAAGAAACATGCCTTTGGCTTCAGCATGACAGGAACATTTTCACCAAAGCTTATAAACAATTTACTATCTGTCCTTTCATGGCTTGCTTGAATTTTGGTTCCTTTTATTGTTGATGCTCAAAATATTAGTTTCGATAAACGAGCTGTAACGTTTTCTTCATAAACAATGCAGCAACCAGCATGGATATTATTCCAACTTTGTCGTCTTTTTAGCCCTCTCAGGTGCAGTCTTGCGGATTGCTTTCTACCTTTCATGTGACAAATATTGCCCTTCTAGGGGTCTTACCATCTCTAACTCTTTGGTCTTCCTCATTTAGTTAACCAACTTGTAATTTCTATTTCATATACCTTAAAACAGACTTGCACAACCAACCCATGTTTATCTATCATCGAGAAAACATGGTTTTGATGCAAGATATAGCAAACTTATGAGTGTCATAAATCTTTCAATGGAAATAAAAACTTTTCTCAAAGGCATTGCCTTACAAATGAGTTATTTTTCCTCTTTCTTTTCTTTTTTTGGAAGGGGGATTCTTCTACTTAAAAGGAAAAGTTGAGCTAAAAACATTTCTTTAGAAGCTTTAGAACTTAAATAGCTTCTTGTTTAATGAACGAAAAAATAAAATTTTCATTGAGACCGAGTGTTGGAGATTTTACTATTAAAAAGTTGAAAAAAACTAAACCCAATGCCATGAGATTAGGCATGGAATACTTTATCATGACACTGGTATGTCATTATCTCGTTTTTCTTATTGCCCACATCATTGTCTCTTGTTTTCTTAGCAGCTACGACAGCAACATTATGATATTTGGCTTGGCAAAGTAATTTTCTGTAAGAAATCTTCATTTATTTGACATTTGGTGCATCGCAATCAATTATTGTATGATCGAAAGAGAAAAGTTTTACTCTTTATTCAAAGTTAAAAGTCGTTTCTACAAGAAACTTAAGCCCGTACGCATATCATCTTCATCTAGTCACCAACTTTATGCGCACTGCGCAGTGCAATTGTCAAAACGCATATTGAAACTTGTCCACTTTCCACTAATCAATGGTCTCGATTGTGCACTAGGTACCGGTCAAATCCTTAATGCTATGACAAGACCCAAGATAAAGTATATATATATAATGTTCATCTGATAAATATGTAATCATCATAATTTCCATCTTAAGCTTGATAAAATACTAACCTCAAAGGGAATGGAAGAAATATATCATCTTATGCTACTCGCCAATTTGTTTTGAACTGGAACTCCATTTTTAAGTTAGAAGAATGCATGTTTGGATTTTTAATGTTTATTAGTTTAGATTTATTTTAAAATTATTAATTATAATTTGTTATAAATTTACGTAGATAATTTTTTTAACATATTTTCAGAACACGCTGAATATATGCCATAATACATATTTAATTTATTTTAATTATATTTAATCTCGTAACACAAGTTCCGGTTCATAAACGCTAACTCAAACAAATGTTATATCGAAGAAAAGACTCAAATACAGCATCAGAGAAACAGTTGATATAAGGGTTAATCTTCTTTTATTTTTTTTTATCATTTTTGAACTTAATGTCATGGTTTCAACTTTCAGAGTATAGTATCATATAATAGATCATTTGTATTACAATATACAAGGAATTAACTGTGTTTGCGGTTAGGTTTAGTTCAGTTGAAACATATTATAAAATTTAAATTAAATTGAATCAATCTTTAACGAAATGTTTTGGATTGGTCAATTTGATTTTTGTTTTTTTTGTTAATTTTTTTTCAACGGATAACAACACCGTATTGCCTATAAAATATTTTAGCACATCATGTAAGTTTATTCAACTCATTAATTTTATAAAATATATATTAGTATTACATAAAATTTTATAATGAGTCATGATTTGTGTATATATTATTTACTTATTTTAAATATGAATGTTAAGCACCTAAGTCATAATACATATATTATATTGTAGCTATCAAACCGATAAGCCCTCTTCTGTGTAGCTACAAAAGTTTTAAAGCACATATAGTCATGTGCTTAAATTCTCTATTATCAATAATTTCCCTAAATATAAACATCAAAGTAGAAAATTTATTAAAATATATTAAAACAAATAAGATTTGCAGGTCAAAACGGTTTGAATTTAATTACGAAAACCTAAACGAAACTAATTAAAATAATTTTTGTAATTTTTAATTTGTTTGATTTTCAGTTTAATCAATTTTTAGTTTTTTTTTCTTTCTAATTTTACGGTTTAAAATGGTTTGATTCAATTCACGAACACCCTTACAATTTACAAAGAATGGATTAGGAGGATAATATGTAGAGCAAAACCAAAAATCCCAGTTTGTATCTTGTTTGCTTCATTGGATTATGATACAAGAAGGCATGCTATTAAGATATTCTCTACTAAACTCTTTCTGAAATTTTGTATATCGTTGAATAAAATCCACAGAAATTCCATTAAATTATAAATAAAAATCACTAAACAGAATACCCATATTATTTAGTAGATTTGAAATAAACATTATTAATAATATTGTGTTTAAGAGTATTTATAAACATTTCTCTTGATACAATGTACGAACTTCTTCATAGAGCATAATCGACGTGTGGTGGGGCAATTCAACTACTGGGTCACAGTCTATCAGAATTGGGCTCACTGACATGAACATTGTGTGCCGTATTCCAGTACAAATCAAAATGTGACTGGGTCAAACGAATGGAATAAAATCCTGATCGCCCTCTGTATCCTTTGCTCAAGATATACTTTTATAAATTATATAATATATAATTACAATCCAGATAATTAAAAAAAAAAAAAACAAATAAGGATTTTTTCGTTGATGTTGTTCAATTTCATTAGTTGAGCCTACCTTATTGATTATGTAAGTTTGAGTAATTGTTATTACTTAACTCAAAAAAATAATAATTATATAAGACATAAACACTATATTATTTAACATCAGGCCCGTTCCTGACTTTTTTTGAGTCCTAGACAAAATATTAAATTGGGACCCTTTCAAAAAAAATTATATGACATAATACAACAAAATAAAAGTATAATTCTATTAAAATAATATGTTTTTTAAGTAAATAGAATTTTTTTCTAATAAAATTACAAAAAAAAATTCATTCAAATAATTTTTTTAACTCTTCAGCACGTTTTCTTTTTTTTTCTTTTTTCACTTCCAGATAAATGCTTTTTAGGTAACATTGCATATAAAAGATAAATAAGACAATACAATCATAAAACAAGGGAAAAAGAATAATAGCACCTGGTAGAAGAATTCAACTTAAATGTTTGCTTTCACATATGTAAATTCCACAAGCATAATCCAGTCCCTAGGAATCTGAAAATATAATTATGATAATCAATTAGGGAATAAGATGATAATCAAAGGCATAACAACATATTGTAGACTTGCAGACTATAATTATAATTCGTATGCAACATGCTATATATAATATATAATATACTATATTTCATAAAGGCATAACCTGAAAACCACAATGCAAAGGATTATAGTAAATCAAATCTCCTAATTAATGTGATGATTATTCCTAATTACAGCAGTCGCTAGTTTTGGATGCCAAACAGCTCCATGAAACTCACAAATATTACACATTCAATCATGGCATTACAACCAGCACAAATTTTGCAATAAAACACAGCTGTAACAAGAGTCAGGAAATGGAACATAATTAATAAACCAAAAGAAAAATAAAAATGGCGCTCCTTATTCATAATATAAATATTCCTACTAAAGCATTTATATAAATAGCGAATTAATCACCTTCCAAACGCGAAACGCCTAACTGGGTTTGAATTGCAGAATAGCTCTTTTAGCTCCCTTCTTTTCCCACTAAAAAGAAAAGCAAAGATGTCTTTGGAACAAATGTGGGTAAGTGGGTTATGTAAATAACAAAATCAATTTTTTAGGTAAACGGTTTTTTTAACATTTGCCGAATAAGGATTGAGGAACAGGGAGGAAGAAAGAAAAAAGAAAGAAAAGTGAGGAGGAAAGAACTACCTGCAACAATGGTGAGTTTTGTCTTTTTTATTATGATAAAATACAGAATTGCACACACACTGTTAAAAGGTCTGGAGAAGTCGAAGAAGTAATTACGTTTTTAGCAAGCAAAGTGTGATTGTGTGAGAAATTGAAAAGTCTTCTTTATTTTTTTTATTTTTTTCAACTGCAAATTACAAGTAAGTATTATAATTTTTATTTTGGGCCCCTTTTAGGTCTGGGCCCTTGGCGATCGCACTCTCAGCCTACCCTCAGAACCGGGCCTGTTTAACATCACTTCCTATTACCTTCGTTAAAAACTTGGAAACAAGAGAAAATATGACTTA